GGGGCGGGTAAAAAAAAAAAAAAAAAAAAAAAAAAAAAAAAAAAAAAAAAAAAAAAAAACACCATAACAAAGAAAGGACCGCAAAGCAGACCAGCAAATAAGAGGACGAGATTGTCAGCAATACGAGTAACGGGAAACACATGAAATAAATAAATAAGAAACACATGGACAAGCAGGAGACAGCACCAAGGTTGGGGAGTGGGCACCCCTAGAGAGGTAGGGACAAGCAGGACAGAACATCAGGGTTGGTTGGGGGTTGGAAACCCCTGGATGTGAAAGGATAAAAAGGGAAACCCTATCAATATACCCATTTACTCGTTTTTTTCTCAACAATGGGAAACCTGAGCGGAAGCTCGGCGACCGAGCAAAAATGTCGACGATGGAAGGGTTCTAGGAAATGGCTTTTCCCACCCATTCCCTTCCACTTCCACACAAAGCCCCATCGATGTGGAAGCTTGAAGAATCTAACAACCACTGCCACGCAAACACCAAAAAACTTCGTGCACGCGAAACACAAAATACAACAAGGCATGACAGAAGCACACTCCACCATACTCTAGCTCCTCTCTCTCTCTCTCTCTCTCTCTCTCTCTCTCTCTCTCTCTCTCTCTCTCTCTCTCTCTCTCTCTCTCTCTGTGTGTAAACAATCAGCATCACCAGCACGGGTGTACTAACAAGGACCATCTTGAAAGTCCGAAGGGCTTACTTAAGAGGACAAGAGTGTCGCTAATTGGTAGAGCATTTGAGCCGTCCAGAAGGACAGCCCTGTGTGTGTGTGTAGTCCTGAGCTGTACAGATGCGGTATACATCTCTCTCTCTCTCTCTCTCTCTCTCTCTCTCTCTCTCTCTCTCTCTCTCTCTCTCTCTCTCTCTCTCTCTCTCTCTCTCCCCCCGCGTTTGGAGGATGTATGCGCTCTCACTTCTCTGGGAATGACGTTATCATTACACTTGGCAGCTCCCATCATGCGTGCCCTAAGATCCTGACCCTACTTGCTGGCCTCCGCCTTCCTTTCTGTACACATCAATCGCAGCTATCTCCACCCATGGACCTCGCTAGCGCGTTCATCGCGCTGGCCATGCCATTGAATGCAGCCACCATCGCTTGCGACTGCTCCATCATCATGTGCCCCTGACGCTCAAGAATATCAGCCGTCCGATCCGCGGCCTGTGTAAAAGCGGCAGCAAAAGACACAGCCTGGCGCTCCAGCGCTACCGTTAGATTATCGATAGCCACCGCGGCATTAGTCTTCCGACGCGTCCGAGGCGGCGGGGCCCCCGTACCCCCGTGCGGGCTTCCGCCGGCTTCCCCCGCCTGCGGCGGGCTCGGAAGAGTGCGCTTCCGCGTAGTCGTCCCGCCCGGCGTTACCGCATCTGTAGCAGGCACATCCTTGCCGCGTCCATCATCGTCGCTTTCACCTGATGAGCTCGACATTCTCCCCTCTTCCTTCTCCCCCTCCTCCTCCTCCTCCTCCTCCTCCTCCTCTTTCTCCTCCTGACACGTCTTTGTGTTCTTTCGTCGCTTCAAATCCTGACACGCCTTTGTGTGCTCTCGTCGGTTCAATCCTCTCTTCCCTCCTTTTCCTTGTTCGCTTCGTTCCTGTCGTCTTCTGCCCAATGCCACACAAGACAAACACCCATGAATACACACACACACACTCTCTCTCTCTCTCTCTCTCTCTCTCTCTCTCTCTCTCTCTCTCTCTCTCTCTCTCTCTCTCTCTCTCTCTCCTCCAGTCACGAGAAGCACGTTGTAAGGAACGATAGAACGGAGGAAGAGAAACAAATAAAAAATATAAATAAATTAAAAGAATAATAATAATACAAAACGACGATAAAATCATGAGCCTATAATCTCGCAATATGTGGGAAGGACGAGCGACAAAAAATGACGAGCTAATTCGTTTTTTTTTTTTTTTAAATAATACAAAACGGCAAGTGGGCAAAAATAGGAATGCGTCCCTAACCCGAGTATGGCAAAACAGAGAGAACATCTCGGAGCCAATGACGCAAATATCATCTCTTTTTTTTCTGTGATTTTTTTACTTTCTCTTTTTATTTAAGCTAAAATCATGAGCCAATGACCCTAATATAACCACGGAACATGTGGGAAGGACGAGCCGAGAAAAACAAAAACAAAAAAACGACGAGCTAAAAAAAAAAAAAAAAAAAGACGAGCGAAAAGCGGGAAAATTGTTCTCTTTTTATTTAAGCTAAAATCATGAGCCGATGACCCTAATATAACCTCGCAATATGTGGGAAGGACGAGCCAGAAAAAAAAAAAAAAGGAGGTAAAAAAAAAAAGACGAGTGAAAAGCGGGAAACTTGTGTGCGAACAGCTGAGGAAGAAGACGAAGGTAATAATTCACTAAAAGCTTTTCTTTTTCAGTACGCTATATTCTTCTCTCAAATTCTCTCCTTTCACTACCTACCTTCTCTGCTAAAAGGCTATATCGAGGGGATTTAAAAAAAAAAAAAAAAAAAAAAAACGAAAAGATCGGGAAAAAAGTTATGAAGTGTCGCCGCAAGCCCCAAAATGACTTTCCGTGTCATTTTGGCACCCTGGCTGGGCCGGTAACGCCCGCTGTGCAAAAACGGCGGGAAAGCGTTTTTTTTTACAGGGTGCAAAAATGATGCCAAAAGTCATTTTGGGGCCTGTGGCACTTTTTGCCCCGGTTGGGGGGAAATGAATACAAAGGTTTCGTCGCGGGGAGGTAGGTTTTATAACTTTTTTTTTTTTTTGGGTTTTTTTGGGTAATAACTTTTCAAGACTAAAGGTGAAGGGACGAGATTGAACGCGACGCCGTGGAGAGGAGGAGAACCATTAAAAAATCGAAAAGATACAGGGAGGGGGAGGGGAAAAAAAACAAAAAATTGAAGATACTAAAAAGACATGCAAAAATGGAACATCTTACAAGTTTTTTCCTACGAAGTTTTTCATGCCCGGCCGGGCCTGCACGACCGGGCACCCGGGCGTGCAAAAAAAACAGAAAAAAAAAAAAAGCCTTTCTGCGCTCTCCCAGAGGACCCCAAATCCCGGCTCGTTTCATTTTTTGAGAGTTGGCTGTCAAGAGGGGGAAAGGGGGGTATAAATTGTTTTCAAAGAGGCTAAGAGGGGTTCAAGGGGGGTCCTTTAGCGTGATTTTTTTTTTTCCCTCTGATTCCGTGAGGAATTCTGATGTGAATCTCAGCCAAAAGTTTGTATTGCAATTCTACACAACATTTTTTTTTTCTGAAATTTTATTACTTTGGTTTTCTTTTTGTTTTGTTTTTTTTTTCGCCCTGGGGCTGCCCGGAACCCTGCCCGGCCGGACACCCGGGCGTGTATCCGGGCACAAGCTGGGTGCCCGGGCGCCCGGAAAAACAACCTAGGTTTTTTCTTCTTTTTTCCCGTTTTTATTCTTCTTTTTCTTCTTTTTTTTTTTCTCTCTTCTTTTCTTCTTTTTTTTTTTCCCTTTTCTTTTTTTTTATTTCAAGGTTGGCCTCTTTGCGCATTTGGATTCATTTGATTGCAGCAGGAGTTAAAAATAAAAGGAGGTAAGCGAGGCATATTCACACGAGACCTTTTTCGATTGCCTACTGGACGGAATTGCGGTCAGATACATCCAGGTCCGGCCGTAACTGCTGTTAGACACCTCTACAAAAGCCCGGCTGAAAGCAATAGGATTTGAGCATGCAGCGCCCCCCCCCCCCCCCCCCCCACAAAAAAAACAAAAAAAAAAAACAAAAAAAGGGATTAGCGTGCACGGGCAGTGAACATAATGAGCCCAACACAATTACCGCCTCTAAAGATTTCAGGAAAAGAACACTCAAAACACACACACACACAAAAAAAAAAAAAGGCACACGCACACACATGCACACACACGCGCGCACACACACACGCACACACACATACACACACACGCCCACACACGCCCACACGCCCACACACGCCCACACGCCCACACACGCACACACTCACGGACAGAAACAGAGGTACATGCATGCATATATATACATATCGTCACAAACAGATATATATATATATATATAAGATGGAGAAATGGATGGAAAGAAAATGAATGGGTCATTCATTGATCAAAACGATGGAACAGAAAGAATGACTTTGATCACGATGAGGGAAGGAGAAAGCAGGAAGAGTGAGAGGAGAAAGGGTGCGGACGTGAAAGAAAGTAGAGAAGGTTATGCTTCACGCCTGCAAAAAAGAACGGGAAACGACGCGGGAGTCAGAAAAGAAAAGTTTGAAAATACACTTCGGGCAAAAAACAGTTTCAACTTGGACTTTCAGGCAATGTATACAGGCTAGCTTTCCGGTCAGGTAGGGTTGAGTGCGGGGGTGTTATGTTCGGGGGAATGCGTGATGTGTAATTTCAAACTGTTTTTTTGTGACTGTACTGAAATTCTCCCCGCCCCAAAAGAAAAGGATAGCAATAAAGGAGAGAGTTAAGAGATAAATGAGAAAAAAAGAGAGCGCGGGATGCAGCTCTACGGCGTGCGCGAGCAGAGAAATCCCCACTACAGCTCGGGAATAGGCGCGAAAAAGAGCAATCGAAATTTTGCCTGGGGATGGGGGAAGGGGGGGGGGGGGGGGGGGGGGGGGGGAAGAGAGGGGGAAAGGTGAGGGTTGCAGGGCCCGACGACCTGTCACGATATTAGTAAAACGGATATGCGCGCGCGCTCGTGCCGTAAGTGTCTCTCTCTCTCTCTCTCTCTCTCTCTCTCTCTCTCTCTCTCTCTCTCTCTCTCTCTCTCTCTCTGTGTGTGTGTGCGTGTGTCTGTGTGAGTGCGTGGGTGAAAAAGTGGTTGATGTGTGTGAATGTGTATGTGTTTTTGTGTGTGACTGTTCATGGTGGAGGGCAAGAAACCGTAAAGGGCAATGACTGACTGAAGGCAAAGGGGGAGAGAGGAAGAGCGAAGACGCGAAAGAGAGGAGGGAGAGAGATGAAGAGAAGAAGAAGAGAAATTGAATCCCCCTAAAGAAGGCGTCGACGAGGACGATAGGTTGACGGAGAGCAACAGAAAACAGAGTTGAGAGAAGTGAATGCACTTGTCTGTCCCTTGTCAACGGACAAGTGCATTCACAAGAATGCGGAAGCAGAAGAAGAAGAAGAAGAAGAAGAAGAATTGAATTGAATTGAATTGAAGTAGCGAGGAAGAAGAAGAAGAAGAAATGAAATGAAATGAAACAGCGAGGCCAATCCCTATGCGTCCATGCATCAACGAAGAACAATGAAGCACCTACACGGACATCGAGCTCAACGCGCACATTCCCCGACGCGGACGCGTTTCGCCTGGCTGCGCACCAGGACTTATCAAGGGGCCACCACACTCCCGCATCCACCGAAGCATACCAACCAGAGCAAGAAGAAGAAGAAGAAGAAGAAGAAGAAGAAGAAGAAGAAGAAGAAGAAGAAGAGAAGTAGCGAGGCCAATCGCCACAAGCGTCCACACTCACAAATGTGTCAGCGAAGCAACTCCATGGATATAACAAAGCTCAGAAAGAAGATGGAAGATGGAAGATGGAAGAAGAAGAAGAAGAAGAAGAAGAAGAAGAAGAAGAAGTGAAATAGCGAGGCCAATCGCTATGCGTCCATGTCTCAACAAAGTTCAACAAGCTCCTGCACGGACAGTATGCTCAACGCGCACATTAAGAAGAAGAAGAAGAAAGAAGAAGAAAGAGGACGAAGAAGACATAGGAAAGAAGAAGAAAGAAGAGAATTGGAAGAAGTGTCATGGATTGTTCTAGATGATGAGTGGAGAGAGTGGATGAGCGCCGGCATCACTAACCATCATACCGTTAGGACTGTACTAGTGTCCATAAAGCTTAGCCATTACTTTTTCCTTTTCCTTTCTTTTTTTTTGTGTTAAGATAAAAAGAACAAGGGGGGGGGAAATGATT